GCCCCGCCGGCCTCAGGCAGCCCCTCCTCAGGAACCCGGCGGGGCGCACCCGCGTCTCCCTGGCAATGCGGGCTCGGCCGGTGCCTGCGCAGCGAAACCCCGCGGTGAGGCTTCAGAGGGCGCCAGGAGGTTTTTACACCTCCTGGGCTGAACCCCGGGGAGAGCAGATAAACCCGGGCCGTGGGTAAAACCCGTCCTTAACGCGGCCGGGCCGAGGTGGGTCCGTGAGGGCGCTGCTGGCCGCCCCGGGCACCGCCGCACTGTGTTCCTCCTTCACCACCTTAAATAAAACGATCCCCCCCTACACCCCCCCGGTTTCTTCTGGCAGCGCTCAGGCTGCGGTAAGCGCTCGTTATTTGAAGAGCGTTTTTTAGTTTAGATGAAGGCATCCAGAAGCTAGTTTCTTGCTCTTTTGTCTTTCAAGCAGAATGAATTCGGTCAGGCTGTGACTGTTGGTGTTTGTTTGCGGTGGAGAAATCTCTGTTGGATGGTTAAAGTACGCCTCTGTCTTACAGATCGGATCACTCAAAAATCACTACCTATTCAGACATAAAAGCCATCCAAGACGGTCTCGAAGAAGTGCCATTCATATCACTAAAAGACTTTCTGATGATGAGCGGGTGAGTGTTACGTTTATTCTTTTTTGTGCTCCCTGTTTATTCCGTCCCCTTTATTGCTAGCTTTGTAACGAGGTCACAGGCAGGCTTTCCTCGCTTTGCAAGTCTAATATACGCAGCCATCCATACTCATGCTGAATAATACTTTATTATTCCGTCATTAACAGGCAGAATCTGACCCTCTCCTACCATATTTTTTTGCAAGGGCATTCCAAATTAAGATTTAAGATATGCAGCATTGCAGAGGCTTAGAGTTTCAGATGCCGATGTGTCGCTGATGAAAATGTGAATGAGGAGCCACAGGGCTTGATTCAGAGTTAAAAATCCATAGATGCATTAAGCTTAATTAGGCCACGTCTGTGCAATTACCGCGGGAATTAGGTTTGATTTAAAGTGACTGAATATTTAGAAAAAAAAAAAAAGAGTAGGGGAAAAGAGCCGATTTGTTGCTTCTTCTATGACAAGCTCTAAAACCCCTTCTCAAAGAATCCATCACACGTTCTAGACTTGCAGTTTTTTTCCAGAGTTGCAGTTTTTTTCTACACTTGCAGTCTTTTTCTACAGAGGGATCCCAGCACAGTCCAAGGTCAGGCATGCTGGGAGAGCCGGGGGGTCTAAGGCACGGTCCACCCGCGAGGCAGACTGCCCGTGTATTCCACTTTATTTGAGAGAGGAGAATGTCTCTTTGTAAAACACACTGAAAAAAAAGGGGTGGGTGGCAAAATTAAGGAACGGACCAGAATGCTGTCAGACCCTCTTAAAACCAATTTCTGGTGGATTTCAGAACAACGAAATATGAATTTGAAATCAGTGTTATTGCAGCACTCATTGTAAAAATGAGAGCAGACCAAAGCATGAATTAGCCTAGTTGTAAAAATCAGCAATTTATCGTGTAGGGATGAATCGCTTGGGAAGGAGCGATTGGTTATCTGGAGGTTTTAGAGGCCAATGTCATCTGGGAGGAACTATTCTATATGTAGCTAGGATAATTAAAGGAGGGGGTAGGATGGGGTATTTGTTTTGCCTGTTTCCAGACCGTACGCTCTCATCTGTCTCCTTGTGAACACGGGTGTAATGGTTAAAGTCTTCCAGGTGTGGTCATTCTAAACTGGGATATTCAAAGCCACAGCGTTAAGTGGAAATGAGTGTTCTAATTTGTACCCATACCCGTGATCAAAGGTTCAATGCCATCATAGCACCATGTACAGGAACAGAGTTTTGGGTGCAGTTCCTCCCTTTTTTGGACTTACCCCACCGAACGCACCCCTTAGGCAGGGGAGCGTGGCCGTGGTTAGGACATGGAATCCCAACGTCATAAGCAGAGCGGGAGCATTTGTGCCGCGCGTGTTACTGCCAGACGTGATTGCAGACTTAGATCCAAACCCGGAGCTTCAAAGTGCTGCAGGTGATTTGGTAAATCTACCCTCATTTCCCTTTTATTTACCACTCAGTATGCAAATGAACCGTGCGAGTGAATGGGATGTAATTATGTCATTATGTAAGTATATAAACACAAAGCAATCACGTAAGGCTGTGTAGTTTACCCGTGGACCTTGGCTCCCGAGAGCTGCTCTTGTCTGGCAACAGCCTCTTTAACAAGATTTAAATTCAGTCTTCAAAAAGGCAGAGAGAAGGGAATCCTGCTTTTGTTTGTGTAACGCCTTCATGACTCTCATGGTATGTTAAGTGTGAAAGCTGGCGTAAAACTTGGCTCTCCTCTGAGTATTTCTCTGCTTCCTATAGATGTCCCAGTGTTTGTTGTAAAACAGATAAAGGCTGTGAATATACAGGAGGGATGTGATTATCTGGTTCCCTAACTTCCAGTATTTGCGCTGGTTTCCAAACCTATGTTCTTGCAAGAGACCCGAACCAGGATTATTTTGGCTGCTCTATTTATCAGCGAGCGGAGATTTGGCACAGGGCTTGTTCCGCAGATGGGTGGTTGGAACCTCACCCAGCGGCGGAGTGACAAACATTTGGCTTGTTTGTCTGACATATGCGCTTGGTAGTTTCAGCTCATTTCCCTCAGAGCAGTTGTCCACATGGAGAGCAGCGAGCGTGGAAGCAGTCAGTTGTTAATTACTGTTGGGTGACGAAGAGACCAGGCTTTGCTGTGGGCAGGGGAGAGAGAGAAAGGGAAATGCTGCGACCCGTGCACGAGTGTGTGCGGCCCTGGGTGTCTGCAGGGCGGCTCAGAATACTGACACCGGCCCATCTCCTGTGCCTAACTAGGGTTTGAGGGGTTTCGGTGAGAAATCTATAGCCAAGGGAAGAGTATTAGAGAGCCTTCAGTAACGGTCGCTGGTGTAGCTACCATTTTTAAAGGTTTATGTTCTTATAGTGGATTTCTGTTAGTCTCTCACTAGGAAATGGTATTTTAATAAAATCAGTACTTTTTGAAACATAATTTGTGAATCACACTTACGGCTTCATATATGGTGATAGACGTGCGGACCATAAAGCTCACAGTAGAGAATAACGGAGTCTATTTGAACCTCTAAAGCACAAGGCTAGATCCAAGGCATCTTCCAGCAGCGGCTTATAGCAGGATCTTGGCGATCTGCTGAACCTGAGCTGGCCCTGCCTGTTTGGAGACGGGGATGAAAAGCACCAGCTTCACCAGCGTGACTGTCGCGGTACTACCGACAAATAACATTTTATTCTCCTTTCTGGAAGGAGCACACAGCACCAAGAGATCAGCATCAGGATCAGGATGGTGGGGTTTTTTTTGGGGGGGTGGTGGTGTTTAGTAACGCATTCAAGGGAACCCAGTGGGATACACTTTTAAAACGCAGCCTGGTGACTCAGAGACCGCCGTGCACAAACTCCATCGACGCTTTAGCAAAACACGCTGAAGCATTTTGGCTTTGAGCTGCCTGAAGTGGAATTACGCCAGTGATGAAGTTAGTCCGATATTCACAGCCTTCTAGTTGATCACACTTCAAAACACCACTGGGAGGGAGACTTGAAGGTCCAGCTGGGCTATGAGTAACAGCATCATCATGATGGCTAGACTAAAGCCGGGGATAATCTTTCTCCTTCCAACTCCCCATAGATGGGGATTAAAATGTGAGTAGGAGAAAGAAGCAGGCTGTGGTTTTGCTTGTTTCGGTAACCACTGCTGCTCAGGTAACCTCTAGCCATACTGCACATTCTATATCGAAGCCCACATTGTGTGGCACCCACAGGAGTTCTACTGCTAACTGGTACTTAATGATTTTCTATGACTTGATTCTATGGTATCATGATTTCACAGAGTCCTCTTGCCCAAAGTACACAGTACTTCAGCAGAAATAATCCTCTCTGCAGCAAACATTGCTTATTTTGCTTTAGGCATCAAAATATTGCTGTGTGAGTAAAACCCTTGCCCTCTAGGCTAAGGAAGTTCTAACCTATAGAGGCTTACTTGTCATATTTATACAAATAATTGTAGGTGTCGTGGGCAGAGCAGCAATATGAAAAGAAACGAACTAAGCGTGCCACCGTGAGAGACTCGGCAGAAAATCTTTTCAATGACCCTATGTGGAATCAGCAGTGGTATCTGGTAAGAATCTGTTTCGCTGTGGAACTGGGGGTGGTGGGTTCCAGTTGTGCTGTCAGCTGCATTGTTTTACTAGGATCGGAGCGATGCAGTGGGGTAAATGACAAGTCCCTCTCACTAGCATTTGCTCTAAAAATGGGAGCTCTCTGCGCAGAGGACGTCCACGGAATCTTCTGTTTTCTTTGCAGCATTGTTTGTGCAAAGATTCTAAAAAACATTTTAAGCTGCTTCTTAGGATGGGGGTTGATATGACTCGGTGACCGCCAGGGTCTTTTCAACCTGACTGATTCTGTGATGCTGATTTTAAAATATTTGCTGTTGACGTGTAAGGAGTCCCTTATCATGTCTGAAGCTGGCTGTGTATTTCTTTATTAAAATTGGTGGTGCAGACGGCATCTGCCAGACGGAAACAAAAGCTCCTTCAGCCTCTTGGACAGGGATTTAAATAGAAGGGGGTGTCTGCAGCTCACATGTTCAAAACGTTGAGGAAAAGAAGTTTCCTGAGCTCTGTAGCTTCTGTCTGCACGTGTCAACTCAGGAACACAGCTGATGGTTTACGTTTTATGCGGTTTCTCTGGAGAGTCCGTGTTTGCACAGTGCATCTACCTGCACCCTCCATCTAGGCTCCATTGCTTCCACGCAGAACAGGGCTGGGATTAAAAGTGGGTGTAACGGGTCAGGGAGAAAGGCCAAAAGCACAAGCATGGCCCAGGTGGCTGGAAATACCTTTCTCCAGTTCAGCTTAGAGGAAACAGACCAAACTCTAGGCTGTTTCTGTAATGCTTCGCCCTCTCTTTCCTTTGTTTGAGCTAGGAAAAATGAACTAGAAAACGCAGAGCAAAAAATATTTCCATTAAGATTCCTGCAGACTTCCTTTCAACATAAAAAATGGTTATCTTTAAGAATTTAACTTTTCATTGAAGCTGAATATCTGTTTGTTTCTTAGCATGTTTCCAAGAAGAAGCTGGAAATTTCCAAGATGTCCGTATTGGACAAATACGCAAACATGAACAGAGTTCAGAAAAGCAGTTTTGTGAAAAAAGCAATGTCCTTCTCTCCAGGAGACCTTGTTCCTTTTCCCACCTCCCTATGGTTTTCTTCTCCTTCTAGTTTTCCCACATGAGAAACAGAAATGCAATGCTTACCCTTCTTTGCGGTGCACGTTGAATTTTTTCTGGTGAAATGCATGAACGTGTTAAATATTTTCTTCCAAAATAATCCTTGCCTTGCGGTAAATAACTTATTACTTCCTTATTATTGCGATCTGACGGCAACAGGTTTTTAGCTCTATTCAGTGTGCCTTCACACGTCACCAGAAAGAAAATGGTTGTTTGATGGATTCTAGAGAACAAAACTTGAAACCCTGAAAGGCAGCAGTCAGAAAAGAAAGGATAAAATGAAGGAAAGGTCATTCCCATAACAAATTTCTTTCTGTAAGACTCAGATTTTATGCATCGTTCCTTTGGAAACAAAGAAATGAAAAACCTGCGGTCAGCTAATGTAATTATGCAGAGAGAAACAGAAGGAAAATTCTTTTCTTTACATCTGTGTTTTAAGGGGCTTGAAAGCAAGTTTTGTAAATTAGATGTATGTACCGCACACCTAATATTAGAGAGGAAAAATGACCCATTTAGGAGCTACTCTTTAAAGAACTTGCTGCAGAAGAGAAGGCTATAGATGATTCATGCTTCCAGTTGATTTACCACAGGAACAGTAATGAGGGTAGTAAACAGAAAGTTGTGATTCAGCACAGTTGTTCCTAACCAAACGACTACCTTAATTGTTTTATCCATTAATTATTATGCTCTGGCTTGAACGTCAAAGGAGAAAACACATTTGGAGAAAACGCAGCTGACTGCACTGTGGGGTAGTGTCTTGGCTTCTCATCAAGTGAAAAGAACAAACACGAGCAGGTCTGATCATTAACTCGACGTTCCAAGGTTCAGTGGTGCCTCCCTACCGTTCCCCTGTTTCTGCTGCCGGCCTCCAGTAAATCCGAGGTGCTCTTTGTTCAGGGGTGGTCTTCAAGTAATGGGGTAAATCTGACAGTGCTGCAACTGTTTGACGGAACTGACTTTTGTTTTGTCTTTGCAAAATTTGGACAAAATGTACAAGTTCGGGCTGGGATGGTTCAGTGCACTTTTAAAATACATCCTTGGACCCATGTAGTATAAACGGATAAAGATGTTGACGTATTTCAATCCTTTCTGTCCTCCAGCAAGATACAAGAGTAACTCCAACCCTGCCCAAACTGGATCTCCACGTTATTCCTGTATGGCAGAAAGGGATTACAGGCAAGGGGGTGGTCATCACCGTACTAGACGATGGCTTGGAGTGGAATCACACTGACATCTACACTAACTATGTGAGTCTGGGCGTTAGAACGCCGCGGGGTAAGAGCATTGGCTGTGAACTTGATGTACAGACACTCTTCTCCCGCTTGCTGTCCGTTCTGCAAGTCAGCTCCTCCAGCACAGAGACTGGAATATTTGCCTCAGGCATAATTTGGAACCCGGTCGGTGTCACAGGAAGCTGAATGTCACTTACCAATGACAGCGGGGTGGGTTTTTTGTTGTTTTGGGTTTTTTGCCCTCAGTGGATTTACTTCCCAGGCATGTTTGTGTACAGTGGTTTAATGCTGAATTATTAAAGCTCCATGAAAAATTTATGGAATTGTTAATGCCCGTCACATTCTACCAACTTGATTGCTGTCAACACGAGGCATGCCAGAGAAAGAAATAGGCTCTAGAACCCATTCTGTTACACGTTTTAAACCACATTTTCTAGTTGTCCAAATTAATTGTTTGGTTTCTTTTTTTTTTTTTTTGTAAAACCGTAGGATCCAAAGGCGAGTTATGATTTCAATGACAACGACCATGATCCATTTCCTAGATACGACCCGACAAACGAAAACAAGTGAGTATCCTCCCAGTTGCATGAAGAGAACAAAGCAGTGCTTTATAAATTTGTGTGTTAGAACGTGCAAATGTACAAATATCTCTGTGTGTCCCCTATGGCAATGACGCAATGCGAGGAAGAATCTGTGCAGCAGCATCGCAGGGGGGTTGAGGTTGGGAGGCATCTCTGGAGGTCATCTGGTCCCAGCCCCTGCCCGGGCGGGGACACCCAGAGCCCAGGGCCAGATCCAGACAGCTTTTGAATATTGTGAAGTAGGGAGACTCCGCAGCCTCTGAGGGTGATGCTCACCCTCACAGCAAAAAACTGTGTTCGAAACAAACCTCTTGTGTTTCAGTCTGCACAAATAGTTGCATGTAAAACTGGCCCAAATGCTGGAAACTAAGAAAATTAAATTCCCAGATGAAGAGCTTCACAACTGAAATCTCCCTATAGTGTCCTGAATTTCTTCATACCTTTGTATATGTAAGGTACTGATACCTTTCTGTGAGCTGAAGGGAACACTCTGCTCATGTCACCGTGCGTGTTTCTAGAGCGATACCTCCCTAGGCAAATCTTGACTTCAGTTCTCTGCTTTGCACTGGGAATTTTATAAGAATGTGTCTCCTGTCTTAGAGGAACCTACCGAGAAACCCATCCTTCAGGTCAGCTGTTGTAGCTAAGGACACTCTTTTCTACTTGTGGGAGTAACTGCTGCACCAGTGGGAGAGTTCTAGCTCAGTGCACGCTGTCAGAGGTGAAGCCATGCTTCTGACCTCCTCCCCTAGGCTATGACACACCGTCAGACGCTGGAGGAGGACGCGTTCACTCCCGCGACAATCTTTCTGTCTCTTCTGAGGCATATGGAATCTTTATTTAGACCAGGTTTGTCCCAAGTGTCCTCAAGGTAATAACCCAGGGAGTTTCAGAAAGCTTGAACATGAGACAGGCAGCCAGTTCCCAGGTAGTTCAGGGAGAGATTTTGTCGGTCAGAAAGAGAAGAGAATGGACCTCTTTAAAGGCTGGTACACAGAAGAAATCAATTTCTTAAACTAATTAGGATGCTCCCACTCAATAAAGATACGGTGAGAAACTGGTGTGCTGGTTCCCCGTTGTTTATCAGACAATGCAGCAGCATCCGCAACATAAATCAGTGGATGGGGAAAAAGCAATCAGTCAAAGGATAACTACTCTGCAAGTAAGACATTTGAAAAATGACGTCTCTACTTTGTTACAGCGTTATTTAGGAGCAAGAAGCCATTATCCTCTTGTCCCAATGCCATTATCTCTTAAATCTACCTGTATTACCTCCAATCTTTATTAATAAGTAAATGGAATTCAGCCCAGAAGCATTCAAACACTTCATTGAATAACAATCTGTAGTATTAAATATACAACTCTGTTACAGTTACGCTTACACGAAGGTTTTCTGTACTGTGGAAACCACCTATGGCAAAAAAAAGAATTGCATAGAACATTGTTGTGAGAAAAAAATTAGCCATGACGAGGATGCTTTAAAGGCTCGCTTTCTGAAATCCTAAACAAATGCAGTCATTAAGCAAAAGTGTACCTAAAGGTGTGATGGAAGAAGACTTTTATCATATTTCTGTCTGAAGAAGTTTAGCAGCTTCTTAGCCCCATAATCTGATGCTGCTTTTGCACTCCACTGAGATACTGGTGTCTGATGGGTCTGCAGACTTCCGTGTGACTGAGGTAAGGTATTTCTCGTCTCACCACAATGATCCTCTGATCATTAAGATGGTAAACTTGTGTTGCTCGAAGCCCGAGAGAGACAAGTATTTTAGTATCATGTAGATACAGCTCGGAAGCTCTTCCGTAGCTGCATTGCATTCACTTAAGGGAAGACTTGCACCAAAATCAGGGTCGTCGGTGAGGAGTCTTGTGTGTATGTTACCCAAAGATGTCGTGAGACGTTGTTTATTCTGGCTGTATCTATTCAGGCATGGGACACGGTGTGCAGGAGAAATTGCCATGCAAGCCAACAACAGAAAATGTGGAGTTGGAGTAGCCTACAATTCCAAAGTTGGAGGTAAGAAAATGAAAATAATTAGATGTCTGATAGGAATGGAACCCAGAGAGATCCTGCGAAGCGCTGGGTGTTTTCAACTGCTGTTAACTGAAACGTGAATGACTGGCTCTTCTCAGAAAACATCCATCTTGCGCCGTTAGGCTACCAAATCCTGTCTGGCCGTAGTGCAGCCTGTTACATCTATATGACAGCGCTTCTTGAATGTCAGCCTACTCTCTGGAATTTGTTTATCTGTTGAGAATAGGTAGAATATGTGACAGCAGCAGCAGCAGCAATATAGGTGGTGGTGATGGTGATAACAACAACAGTGATAATAGTAACAGCAGCATCAGCCTCTATTGTACCATGAGACAAGACTGCGTCTTCTAAGGAATGATGGACTCACTTCTTATAACTGGTAATCCTGGAAAGAGGTGGCTTGGGGCAGGAGAGGGATTGAGTAGAGTGAAAGTAAGAATATACAAATTTATACCCACCTTGCTCGCAGCATATTGTTTCCATCTGCTCAGTTACGTGCAGAAGGTCACGTCAGCCAAGATACTCCAACCGCTGCCGTTTTCATTTCGGCAGCTTCTCTGTTGTCATCCTAAGTTGATTTTGAAGTAAGTGGAGACCTGCATGCCCGTCAGTCAATACTGCCGTTTTTTTGGAAGAGGTGACTAGAAGTTTAATCCATTAGAGGTTTAGGAAACAGGTCATGATCAAAGTATCCGTTGCAAATGGTTATTTAGCTCCGTGGAAGATACTTGTACACACAGTTTTTCCATGACTCCCCTTTTTTCCTTTTAAACGAAGGGGCGATGAGTGGCAACTGACACCTGTAACTGCCATTCCCACCATTTCAGTCTTTATGTTTGTAGGCTCCCATTTCCTCTGCTGAGCTGTCATAGATGTCAGCTTTGCAGTCTGCCTTTGCCACGACGCATTATGCTGTCGTGCTCTGTTTAAATAAAATATCTCACTCATGAGACAAAGATGCCAAATTTTCAAAGCAGGGCAAAATGGATGAAGCTGCAAAGATGTCTGAACTCCCGCTGTGCCCATATTTTAAGGCGCTGGCATCTACAGAGAAGATTCTTCCACAGTTATTTGCATATGCTCTGCGTTCGTTTGCAAATGCAAACTACAGATCGATGCGGGGTGATTTGTCTAGAAAAGGAAAATAACAGGAGGAAGAGCAGTCCAGCAATCCGTATTACCCAGACAGCTGCTTGTGTCTGCGCGGGGGAGCAGAAAGAATGGAAAAGTTGAAAGAAATCATAAGCTGCTACATATGACCACGCTGATTAAGACAGGGACATAACAAAAATACGTTCAAAGAGCAACAGAAGACAGGAGAAGTCTTTCTTCCAGAGATTCAGATGAACTTGGAGTGGCTAAGCATTGGAAGGCTTTTCTGATGTTCCAAGCTATACAGTTTTTTTTTTTTTTTTTTTTTTTTTTTTTTTTTAAATCTGTGAAATGACACATTACACACTTCTGTCTGACGTTATTTCAGGATGACTTCTTTGAGTGGCTGTCTGCCTGTAGCAGTTGGCAGTCTGGATAAACCCAGTGGTCCACAGCCAGTGCCTTTTCTCTGACAGTCAGCACTAGCTGCTTTAGGGAAAGAAGCCCTGACATTTGGCATACCTTGTTCTCTAATCTTCAGCATCAGAGGTTGGTTTAACTTGGTCTTGAGGGGTAAAACAAAAACCTTCCATTCAGAACTGTTTTGTTTTCCCTGAAAATACTGACTTTAATGATGCTGAGTGCTCTCACTGCTCGCATCAGTGCCGGGCCCTGTTCTGAGACCTGGGTTGGTCTCTTCGGTGCTTGGGGGCTGTGAATCCCATGGGCTTCTCTGTGCACTGTGCGGAAAAAAAACCCAAACCCAAAACTTCTTAATGCCAGTCTTCGAAGTGACACCTTTCAGAGTCCGTTAAGATTCTCCTCTTGTTCTGTGTGGCGCTAAGAAACGTGCATGTATCGATCCCCTTCGGCATTAGGCAGACTGTATGTGTTTTCACATGTAGCGCTGTGCTACGACATTTCTCTGGTGCTACCATGGAAATCAAATGATTAAGAAGCTCCATTTTACAAAGGACTGGGCTGAGAGTTCCTGCACAGTAACGTGTTGCTAAAAATAGCCCTCTGCCAGGCAGATACACGTATGTGCCTGAGATTACCTCGGGCTTTGCCTGCTTTTGATTTTGTGGGACTGGTGATGGAAGCAAGCATGTGGAGGAATAGGAAAGAGTTTATGCAAAGAGGGCAATATTGGAGGCTGCTCAGGGAAATACCACTGCAGTCATCAAACCCCCGAGTTGACTTAAAACAAGCAGGATTTTTGGCGATCGCGGAGACAAGACAACGTTTTTTGTCTCGAGCTGTTTTCATCAGCGTGTTGCCAGTGTTCCCTGTTTTCCTCCTTGGTACGTTATTTATCTGCAGAGTTGGCTTTGTCTTCTTCTGTGGGAAATATCTGTGCGCTCCTCCCTGCATTCCCAGCACCTCATTACGGGTTGCAAGCTCGCGCCCGGCACTTGCAGTCATTCCCACGCAGGCAGATCTTTGCTCGCAGCGCGCTGGTGTGAGAGAATCTGACAACTCTGAGCCAGCCGAAAAATGAGTATTCAAAATGTTAACGAGTTTAAGCCTATCTGGGGTAAGTGGTGGCTTTGGTACCAGAGGCGCAGGATATACCTTGATTCTTTTCCCAGCTTTATGAGCGGTCATGGAGTGGCAGTGGTTGAGCAGATTAACTCCTTTGTCTGCTTTTGCCACTAATTAATATGAAATAATAAACCCCAGCTTTATCTCGGTGGTATTATGAGTCTTAGAGGACAGCCACTGGGGAAATGAATTATGCTTACAGTCTTTTTTTTCCCTGCTTGATAGTATAAAAAAAGAACAAGACACTGAGCTGCAAGGGCAAGGTGGGGAGATTTTTTTTCTCGCTTTTTTTGTTGGTTTTTTTTAATAGTAGAATGACCACATTTTGTCTTCTGTGCTTTGGAAAGATCCCCGTTTTGTGGAAAATACTAGAAAACGAGTCCTCATAATTCACCAACTGCCAGTAATGGTGCAGCTGCTGTAGTACTAACTTGCCAAGTTCAAGAGAACCCAGAGATTTTTATTGCTTGAAAACACAGGCTGAATCCTGACTGCTGTGGCTCTTACATTGCCGCTGTTGCTGGGAGAGCCATGCCATAGCGGGAATTTTGCCAGACTTCTGCTATTTCTGTCGTCCTCCAGCCCTGGACACTGGTAGCAGTCCTGCTGCAGAGCTGAGGGTTTGCAGAGCGAGAGATCCAGTACAGATGAACCGCTGTCTGCCGCTGAATGTTAAGTACCACTGAGATCAGGCTTCTCTGAAGAAGATTAGCTCATGCAGTTCCTAATAAAATGTTAATGGCTAGATATCTCTAGCATCTCTGGATTGCTCACAGTAGAAAAAAAAAACAAAACCAAAACAAAACAACCCTGCAGCAGTAAAATAACAGTGAGAATTTTCTGTGGTGAAGGTTGAAGGGCTGGTGAAATAGCAGCGTCACAAAGACAGCAAAACCTTAATGCCTGTGAGCACAGAGCGTCTTAGCCAGAACATACAGGACTACATCTCTGAACTGAAACTCTTAAAGATGGAAGTAATGCTGATAAAACCTATTCAATTTTAGTGACGTACTAGCAGCTTGGGAGCATCTTTGTTACAGATTTAACAGGAAGAAGGGTCAAGAAAGAGCTCAGTGTAACAAGGAAGAGCAGGAACAGTCAGCAAAGCATCAATCTGTCTCTCTGTAGAAGGAGAGAAAGAAGTAAATAAGAGGCAACCAAGATTTTAGGAGGGCTTTTTTTGATGTTTGTAGCAAGCACTGAGCTCTGCAAATAAAGGGTAAGTGTCCTGTTTCACACTGACACGGACTGTCCTCGGTATTACTGATGTGAACCGCAGCAGGCTGTGGTTGCAGTAGTTATGGATTAATTCTTCTGGAAGCTTTGGGAACAGTTAACAAAGACAAAGAGGAGGGAGCAGAAAGTAAATTAAGTGTGCTGCTTTTTTTTTTTTTTCCTGTTAAGGTATACGAATGCTGGACGGAATAGTCACTGATGCTATTGAAGCCAGTTCAATCGGTTTCAATCCGGAACACGTGGATATTTACAGCGCAAGCTGGGGCCCTAATGATGACGGTAAAACCGTGGAGGGACCTGGGAGACTGGCACAGAAGGCTTTTGAGTATGGGATAAAACAGGTACGAAACTTAAGAGAAAGATACAATAAAATGTGTCAGAGAACAGAATTTTTAAATGGTTGGTATCAGGGAAGAAACGAAAACGGTTTGTGCTCTCTTTGCTCAAACATTTGAAAAGGAGGGGAGAGATTTTGATGGTACAGGTCAGAGAAATTGCCAGCCAGAAGAGGACTTTTAAAAAAGCACCGTCGGAGCTTCCTGAGCTGGTTTTAAGCTGCTCTTCTCCACACATAAGCTTTCTTTTTCCATCCTTACTTTTGCTGCCTTTGTCTCGCCCTACCCCCACCCCTCTCTGCTCCTTGTTTTGCGCTGAACAGTAATTGGATTTCTGCACTGAAAGCCTGCAAAATTTAATACAAAATTCCTGCTTTGTGAATATTTTGCTGTGTGAAATAGCGATGCATTTTAGCACCCCGTGGATGGGCTTGTATTGTGTTAATTGCATTAGTTTATAAATTGGTGCATATCGTGATCCAATTAAAATGAGGGTAGTAAAAATGCATGACGGAGGGTGTTGGAAACAAGGCTTTTACAGTTCTTTTTTTAATGTAATCCTATTTAGATCTGGTTGCATGACAAGTAGGGTGCAGACTGAGAGCTACTGGGGATGCGTTAATGAACTACCCTTGCCAGTGAGGTGAAAGGAGATTTGAAGACGGACAGGTGCTGACAGTGAGAGGAAGACTGAATCAGAGACGGGAGAGGAGAGGAATGGAGGAAAGCTTGAAGGACAGAGGCAAAGAGAAAGGATTTTGGAAAAAGGGCAGTTAACACCAGCAGGCAGAAGGAGGGAAGAAGAGTCTGAGAGCTGACAAACATAGTCTGAGGGAAGAGTAGGGGGGCTGGTGATAAACAGATCTAAGTCTGTAGGTGGGCAGCGAGAGAAGAGGGAGAATTAAAGGCAACAATTAGGAGAGCAGTTTTTGGTGGTCTCACTCTAAAAAAGCAGGTGAAGAATGTGTCTTTCTTTACAATTGTTTTATTTCTCAAGGGTAGCAAATTTACCCATTCATTTGTCAGGCTTCCTTTTCAAGGGTCTGGGTTGTCTCCACCCTGTTTAAGGTCAGCCAGAGTTGGGGCTGTCAACGCCTTCCATCCCTGGCCTGGTAAAAGCTTAAGCTTAGCCTCTGAGGTGTTAGTACCACTCTTAAATGAGATCAGGGCAGCTGTTTACACACGCCAGTGCTTTTCTGGACTGCAGCCTTTATTCTCGAAGGAAGATTCTATCTCATTTTCTGTAACTGATGTGGCTTCTTCTTTCCATTTGAAGTCGTATCGCATAGTGCAGCTTACTTTTCTTTATTTTTAATGTTTTAAGTGCTGTAAATGTCTCAGCACTTGCACACGTGACTTCAAATCTCATCTGAGTGGGATGATAAAAATCTGTATTTCAACTGCTGTTTCCAGTGAACGTACATCTGTTAACAATGAACTTTTGGTCTTCACACTAAACGATTGTTTTTTTTCCCGTGAAGGTCTAACGCAGCTTAAGCCTGGGTAGGGCGATAGGTGTTTGCTCTGTGATAGCTGTGGTGGTTCACATGCTGCCAGCATCAGCTGCACGCTGGAGACCAGAGCAGGGGGTGAGCGTGGTTATGTCTGGAGAGTGCTGGTGCTGGCCTGAGGGTCTCTAAGAGAACGGAGGGGGTTTCGGTCAGATGTGCTTGATGATGGTTCACTCTGTTTCACCAAGTGAACACCAACTGCGAAAGGCTTCCTTACAAAAAAATAAACTGTGGGAAAAGTCATATCATGTACATTGTTCATATTGCTTGAGAGACAAGTGAAATAACCCCTGATAAATGTCATTTCTTTAAGAAAATGGGCCTTTTTCCTATTGATGTTCAGGATCAAAACATTAGTCTGGAGCAGAGGAGGCTGAGGGGAGACCTCCTGGCCCTCGGCAACTCCCTGCCAGGAGGGGGCAGAGAGGGGGGATGAGTCTCTGGAGCCAAGGCCCCAGCGCCAGGCCCCGAGGGAATGGCCTCAAGCTGCCCAGGGCAGGGTCAGGCTGGCTCTGAGGAAGGATTTCTGTGCAGAAGGGGCTGTTGGGCGTTGGAATGGGCTGCCCAGGGCAGGGGGGAGTCCCCGGGATCCCTGGGGGGGTTGAAGAGTCGGGCTGAGCCAGCGCTGAGGGGTCTGGGGGAGTTGGGAAGGGTCAGGGTGGGGGTCATGGTGGGGCTGGAGGAGCTGCAGGGGCTTTTCCAACCCGGATGATTCTGGGATTTTGTGATCAGCATGTGGGAAAACTTAATCTGTTGAGCACAGACTCTGTTTTTAACTTAAAAACCTATTCTGAGGAAAGTTGCTGCAGCTGAAACACTAAACCTAGTTAAACTAAGAGGGGTACTGCAGGGTGTGAGGTGGGGTACCTCAAGCAGCTGTTCTCTTCTGTCTCTCTTCTACAGTGCTTATGGAAAATTGTCCTTTTCCACCTGAAAATGTTTGCTATATTAGGCTTTTTGCAGGGGAGGAGTTGTTAAGAACGCATTACAGAGACTGAAATGTCTTTGGTAACCGCTCCTTTCCATTTTCTCTAGGGCCGGAATGGGAAAGGCTCCATTTTCGTCTGGGCTTCTGGGAACGGAGGCCGTCAGGGAGACAACTGCGACTGTGACGGTTACACTGATAGTATCTACACTATCTCCATTAGCAGTGCTTCTCAGCAAGGCCTTTCTCCCTGGTATGCAGAGAAGTGCTCTTCAACTCTGGCCACCGCATACAGCAGTGGGGATTATACTGACCAAAGAATTGTAGGTTGTTTTTACCAGATTCAGAACAAACATAGAAATGTGTGATGTATGCAAATAACAAGCGAGAGCTCTTAAACGCTTGGTTTCAAGTGCCTGCTTTACGTTCTGTGTCACCTGCTTAATGCTTTTGCCTTGAACCACTGAGGAATTTGTAATCCAATAAGTGATTGTATTCCTGGAACATCTTCTCCTGTAAAGCAATGGCTAAACAGAGTCATTGTGTCAGATTAAATCAGCATGCTGAATTTGTCTGCTGCTTGTGTGCGACAGAGGTCTCTGCGTGGAGCTGGATACGGTCCCATCCTTCGGAAAGGGCAGGTGAAGAGGGGTTTAGAGTGAAAGGAAAAAGAACCTGTGCAGTTCATGTACCGTATGAGTCAGCACCTCCGGAATACCTCGCCGTTAGCTTTTCTGAGATTGTCAGCCCCTGAGTTCCCACTTACGGCAGTGACAATAGAGCTTCCAAACCTGTGACATGTACTCAGCGCCAGGCACATCACTCCGTGTACCTTCACCAGCTGTGCAAGAAATAACTTGTGCTGAGGAAAATTGCTGTGATAAAATGATGGTGAAGTACCTGTAATTTCTGTTCGGCCCCGGAGGATGCTAATTTTGCAATAAACCATACTGATGGGGATTAAAACACTGTCGTTCCAAGTTAGCCAGGAGATCAGCCCTTCCAGAGTGGCTTCTTTTCATAGCCGAGATGTAGATACACGGGCAGATGAATTCGGTATTTAATTTCCAAATAAAGCACATGTTTCATTGCAAATTATAGTTCTTCTGCTGAAGAGGGAGCAGAACACCAATACTAATCCTATGAGTAATTTTCTAGCAAGCAGTAATTTTAAATGTTCTAGGCCCAACACAATGATCTGTTTTTATGATTCACCAGTAAGCCTGAAACACTTATTGTGAAACCTTAGAATAAAATAAGTTATTCAGTGTGGGAGTATTTTGTTCCAACACAAAGTGTTTTGATACAAAAATTATAGTTGAAGTGAAAAGAGTGGATTGAAATATGAACGGATTTAAGCATCCATCACTTTTTCCGCTGGTGAGCAGTGTAGTAACACTCACCGAGATACATGGTGATGTTTGTGAGTGTGGCTGTGACTGTATTTACAACTGTTTATTCATGCAATCTGTGGGGTTTTTTCTTTTTTCTTTTTCTCTGTCAGACAAGTGCTGATCTTCACAACGAATGCACCGAGACTCACACTGGGACCTCTGCGTCTGCACCACTGGCAGCAGGAATTTTTGCCCTAGCCCTGGAAGCAAAGTAAGATGTCACACAAGTACCTTTGAAACGCCTCTCTCAGCCACCCCACCATCTTCCCCCAAAGTGTTGTATCCCTGCAGTGGCTTTGTCTCATGCTGGAACTCACTTCTCGTCAGTCAGACTTGCTTGGCCTGATGACACAGATAAGCAGCTACTTGCCTCAACGCCGTCCTAGCAAAGCAGAACCAACAAAAGTAAAACGTGATGACTGAGGGATTTTAGCCCATTTTGTGCACTGGCAACAGTTGTTTACTGAGTTACGGTCAATTGCACTTAAAAGCGGTGAATCTGCACATGTGTCAGGAGAACATAATTTGAATAGGTTGCAGGAATTTAAATTAAGTCCTTAGAGAATTTACGGAACCCTTTTTGCCAGTGATTGGAGGTACAGTGGAAGGTACCCAAGCCTGGCTGTCAGAGCAGGCAGGGAGCAGGATGCTGTAGGGTGGCAGTCAGAACGTGTGGCTTAGGGAGGGTAGGACAGGACGGGACGGGACCGAACAGTGGCTTTTTCACCAAAACTGCTTCAGGCATCGGGGCGTGGGCTTAGTGCTGGAGTGGTGTCAGTTCAGCTCCGTTTTCTGTTGCTTACTCCTTCGATGACATAAACTTAGGGCCGTATTTTAAAGGGGACAGCTTGAATCAAATACCCAGTGGATTTTTAAAGTCCGGGTCCCTTCATGACTGGTGGGAGATAGTAGTTTTGATAGTTAACTTCAAACACCTGAATCGTTTTGAAGAATTGGACTCTCATCTTGCTAGATACCCATTCTTCACTTACACGGAAATCTTGTCTACCTGGAGGAGTATTGTGGGCACAAGCATGTGACATGCTGTATATTTTTAAAATAATGGGATGCCGTATACATTCAGAGTGTGTTCTGTTGCAGGCTAATAATCGAGAGAAAAATGATAGATAGCCCTGAAACAATTAACCAGGAACATTTTCCCAACAGCCCAAATCTAACCTGGAGGGATATGCAGCACTTGGTGGTGTGGACCTCAGAATACGATCCACTGGCTGGAAATCCAGGATGGAAAAAGAACGGAGCGGGACTGATGGTCAACAGCAGATTTGGGTTTGGGCTCCTCAATGCCAACGCGCTGGTAGATTTAGCTGATCCCAAGAGATGGAAAGGGGTACCAGAAAAGAGAGAGTGTATTGTCAAAGACAAGAGCTTTGAACCAAGGTAAGAATTCGCATTAGCAGTAAGAAGCTTTATGCCTGCCTTAGTAAAGCCTGAAGGGTGGAATTCTGAACAGGTGGCTCTGAGGCAGACTTAAGAGATTTCCTTTGATTCATTTGGTTTTGCCTGACTCTGTTGCTCAGAGGCAGGCAAGGAGCATTTGTTTTCTTACTTTTTTCAGTGTAAGACTGATGGAAATTACTAGCATGAAACCTTAACAAAGATTATTATGTCTGTGCAGCCAGGGTGTGGATGGATGATGCTGTGAGACTGAACCCAACCAGATAAGATAGGAATGTTTAGGCTGCTATCAGAATATGAATAAAAAGATATCAAAATCTCCCAGTGATTTTTTTTTTTTAAAAAAACATCTGTAATCGATCTTAGCAATTCTTGTCCTGTGTCAGACATAGCGTATGTTGAAATGAAGGTGATATATTGAGCTTTAGTCACATCCATAGCACTTCTCTTATGAAGCAGAAGTGTCTCAACGGCTCCCTGGAAAGACTTGCCAGCCACATTCACAAGTGCTCCCAGCACGGTGAGCCTAAACTGAGCTCATCATGCAGGAAAGTCATAATTAGTCACTAGGCTGGTTAATCAGTAAGGATAGCCAGACCGTTTTTGTCTCCACTTGCTCGCTTCTGGATTTGTGTCTAGAAAAAATACAGCTGTTTCAAAGATTGAAGTTACGCTGCGCGAGTGCACCAAAAATCTGTCTGTAGAAACATTTTACAGTGATTTGGGGTGCCACTGCTTGGTAGGCACGTTAGTTATGCTCTCTTATTACCAATTTGCTCTACTCTCTCCTTTCCATGGAGCGCGGATCCAGTACTGATGTGTGTAGCACTGGCTGTTTGTGTATTTTTATTGCAGTCCTCTGTGTTACATTATAAAAACAAAGATCCCGCGATTCTGAGTCCGGAATATTTATGTGGAGACTGAGATTCCCCATTCTTGTTAGAACGGATGGAAGTCGTGCAGAGCGCTATGCACGGCAGCTCTGCACAGAGAACACACAGCAAATGTTGGGTTTTACTTGTGAGCTTCCATTGACTAGGAAGGGTTAAAACATGCTGCAATATTTTAACTCCATGATAACAGCTCTTCTGGATATTTGAATGAGGTGACTAAGTGTGATGCAGTCGTGTGATGCAGCTGCCTGCAGACTGTTTTTTTTGTGGTCTCTCTGGGACAACAAAGTGTTCACAGAAACCCTTGATGTATCAGACTTGCTTCCACAAGTCTGTCTTATCATCGGTCCACTGCAGCATTATCCGCACTTCCAGAACTCCCCGTGTTTTTTACTGGAGTGCTCAAAAAAAAAAAGAATGTAGAATTTGTCAGTACTTCTTCCTTTCTCATCATTCTGAAATGGGTGTTAAATGTGTCATTTGGGCACCTCAACCCGAGAGAGATCTGTAGGGGCTGGAGCGAGGGCAGAGGAGGGCAATGAGGCTGGGGAAGGGCTGGAGAATCAATCCTGTGAGGAGCCAGGGAAGGAGCTGGGGGTGCTCAGGGTGAGGAGGAGGAGGCTGAGGGGAGCCCTCATCCCTCTCTGCAGCTCCTGACAGGACATTGCAGAGAGGCCGGGGCTGGGCTCTGCTCCCAGGGGATCAGGGACAGGACAAGAGGGAACGGCTGGAAACTGCCCCAGGGGAGGGTCAGGCTGGGCAGGAGGAGAAAATGTTTCCCAGCAAGAGTGGTCCGAGAGTGGAACAGGCTGCCCGGGGAGGGGGGAGTCCCCATCCCTGGGGGGTTTCAGGGCCGTTGGGATGAGCTGTGGGGGCTGTGGGTAGGGGAGAACTTTGTAGAGTCGGGCTGAGGGTTGGACTCAGTGATCCCGAGGGGCTTTTCCAGCCTGAACGGTTCTGGGATTCTGTGGTTTGCACTTCACATCATGATCCAGAATCAGAAGTCGCTGTGAGTAATCAAAGAACTCCTGTAATTTTGCCAGATTATTAAGAGCCAATGAGGAAGTCATCATTGAAATTCCCACAAAAGCCTGCGAGGGTCAAGAAAACTCCATTGCATCTCTGGAACACGTGCAGCTTGAGGCAACGATTGAGTATTCCCGTAGAGGTGATCTCCACGTCACTCTGGCATCTCCATCAGGTACAGGAGGCAAAGACAGGCTTTGTTTGTGTTGCTGCATTATGTAACATTTGTCCCATTAAAAACCACCTCTGCGTTCTTCAGTGTTTTAAAAATAGCTAAATATATCATTAGATAAATCTAGTGACCTCCAACAGGTGCGCGTGAGGACAGAGCATCCTGGGAACTAGAGAACTGGTTCCCTGAAACCCCTTTTCAGCCTTCAGCTCTTCTGGGTTATTTTTGTGAGAAGCGGTTTGAAAATCATTCTTCAGAAAATGAAGGCACTATTTTTTGTAATACGCTTTCATTCTGGCAACGGTTCCTATAAAAACTGCGAGTTCCTGGCAGACAACAAATTACAGTTCAACAGTGCTTATCAGCCTTACTGTGATTTAACAAACTAATGGAAAACTGAGGAAATCTGAGTCCACAGATTTCGTGTAACTGTGTCTCCCCACTGGTGTGTTTAGAAACACAGCGTCCCTGTTAGGCACCTTAGTACAACCATACGAAATGTGCTGGAAGATGGCAAGCTAACTTGACAATGCCCTGAAATAACACCATAAGGAGAAAAAAAAAAAAAAAACACAAAAAAAACCTCAAAGGAGAATGAGTTTGGAACTGTCAGTGTTAGGTCAATGGTTGGACTGGATGATCTTCAAGGTCTTTTCCAACCTGGGCGGTTCTGTGACTCTGTGAGTGCAAACAGCTGCGTAGGGAGTAAGATCTGTTAGGTCAACTGGCATTCTTAGAAAAAAAAGACAAGCTTTCAGATATGACTTTAAACATTAGGCTGATCTAATTTACTGATATTAAAAGCTAATCTGGGAGTTCACAGATGATAAACCGCTGGAGCCTGGTTCACAGCATCACTGCAGGACCTCACTAGAGAGCAGGGTTAAGATTCTGTACGTGCGGTGTATTTCCAAACCCTACCTTGTCTGGGATTCCTTTTAAGCCTAACTCTTCCCTTTCTGAGTTTACCTTCTGTTTTAAGGGAACAGTGTTGCTGTGAGGTGTTTTACCCTTGACTCTTGGTGGTATTGTCAGATTTAATTCTGTCTTAGATAAGTTTTAGTGCGGGAGTAAATATATGGGCTGTCTCTAGGTACAGCATGGAGGTGACAGCCACGGTGGATATCAGTCTACTTTAGGAGAGGTACTTCCCTCCCGAGACACGGTTCTGCTGCTAATATGTAGGAAGCATGGCTTCATCTTAGAAAAACAACCTTTTTTGAAAGGCTGACGACAGAGAGATGTTCTTCATCTTTCTGTGTAGTTCTGTGGGTATGACTGAGGCAGCAACACCCGGTGCTGCTGCCTCCGTGATAGTATCATGGTTAAGGTGTTTTTTTTCCCTTGGTTCTTGGTGTTTTTTCCACTTTTCTGCAAAACAGCACTACTCGATGTATGTCATTCCTCTTCTATATTTACAGTATTACCTGGAAATATATTTATAGCTCGTGATCAGGCTCCCTGGGGCTCTCTTCTCCTTATTATGTAAATACAGCTTCCTTGCTCTCTCCTTATGTGCAAACAAGCACAACAGATTCCCACCGTGCAGTAGAATCTCTTCTGCCGCAGAAAGACTTTGTGAACGGAAGCGTTTTTGTAATAATAATAACAATACAAATGCTTTTCACCCGGTTGGAGTTCCAGGCTGTAGCGGTTGACATCCACTCACCAAAAAACAACGTACAGTCAGGAATTCAGGATAAGGCTTCGGTTTCGCGATGGTGCGTGAGCTGGTTTGCCTTCAAAGGTTCCGTCTCGGAAGTTTCCTGAACTGGTTGTCAGTGGAAGAGACTGGTTGTGTCTGACCTCTCTTTCTTGTGCTCCTTTACATGCACCCACTAATTCTTTGTGTTGCAAACCGAGCACTAAGATGTCCTTTTTGAGCGTGACCTAATGTGATACTTTTTATGTTCTTAAATACTGCTGTGAAAATAATTAAAGGAATGACTGATCAGGTAGCGTGTTTCCCGTGCCACAAGCCACCGTTTATTTTTAAATAGCGTATTTCTCGGGTTACCCGTGTGCTAGACAGTGTGCAAAGCCGAATGTGGGAAGTGGGACCGGGCGTGTATGAAGTCACAACTGTTGCTCTTGCACTAACGCAGGGACCAGCACTGTCTTACTGGCTGAGAGAGAGAGAGATAAATCTCCCAATGGCTTTAAGAACTGGGACTTCATGTCTGTTCACACCTGGGGAGAGAACCCAACAGGCACCTGGGTTCTAAGAATTACTGACGTGGTAAGTACGTCTGTACTATGTTCACGAGCTCTGTCGGGCAGCTGACACAGATACAACGATCCCTAACCACTACCAAGTGGGTTCAGCAGTGAGCCTTGTCGTTAAGCAAGCTACAGCAAGAGTTTATTTCAATTAAAGACCCATCTGGGTTAGAGATTAAAGAAAAAAGATAGGGTCAGGTTTTCTTGTTCTTTATGTAAATGCAAAGGACCGTCTTCGCTTCATTGATGTAGCTGTCAAAAAAAAAAAAAAAGTCATGCCTGTGTTTTTCACACATTATATGTCACTAAAACAAATCACTTAACACAGTTCTCTGTGATTCATGGAGTGAAATACGTAATCGAATTAACATATGATTAACTGTAGATTAGTTTCTTCTGCACAAAAACCCCCCACAGGATAGATCTATTCTTCTCTTGGTACGTGTATATAATTTTCATTAACTCAAAACCTTTCGAATTAATGAATTTCTGGTGACCTCAGAGAGCTGCTCTGATGTATACCCATCCCTAAATGCTTTCTTGGAGTAATTACTGCTGAACAACGTTAAAGGATTAAAGACAAGAAATCTACGGATATGAAATAAAGAAGTTTTCTAAAACCACCCGGGGATATGGATTAGAGCAGCGAGACGCCAGAATAAAGCTGCTTGATGGGCAACTGGAAAACCATTCTCTTCAAAGAGGGGGTGATGAAGCGCACTCACCTCTGGAGAATTTCACTGGAGTTGTCTGTTAATAATCTTGTCATTAGGGGTCAGATCTTGCCGGAGTCTGAATGCTTCCTACCAGACACGGATCCTCCAACCCCTACTGGCCTCCGCCTGTAAACAGGAGGATAATGCCAAGTACTAAGCAGATGGACAAGGCAGTAGAAGTCAACATTATTATCAACGGTGCAGTGTTAATGCTGCAGGCTTATAGATAAACCCGTGGTTACAGATACCCTGCTCTTTGTCATGAGCATAATGCGGGTTTTTGGAACGAAGCTAAAGGGGGCATTTTGTTTGTAATTATCTCTCGTTTTTCATTTTCAAGTGAGAGGTTCCTGAAACTTACAATAAGCCAAGCTTTTTGTCCTCAGGGGGACAAATTCTGTGATTGTAAGTTTTCGTATTAATGACCCTAACTGAGATCAGATTCCCACGCAGAGCTGCTCATGGTTTAGTTGTCACGCATGCTGTGTACGTAAACCTCAGTGTAGGCGTCTATCAGCAAAGAAGAACCTCAGCAGCTCTCTTCAGCCACTCTGAGCAAAAATTCTGAAAGGAGCTTTTGTAAAATGAAGTGTCAGTGTTCTCCGGACTTCCTACTTTCTACTATTTAAGTAATGCCGCCAAAACGCGCGGACAAAAGCATTTGTCGCTCGCTTCCACATGCTGTGTTTCAGATTGCTGTTACATAATATTATTCCAAATTACTTATTCCAGTGGTAACTTTTCTGAGGAAATTGCCAAGGAATGGCTTAGTGAACAAACACTAGTAAGATAAAAATACCACTTCCGTAATTTTTAGCATTCTGTGTCACGACAAAATTCCACCGATGCTTACACAATTCATTCATTAAATCCCACTTTCTGATATATCCTGTCTAATACATCTGTCTTTTGGTACTTGTAAATCATTGTCTAAATTTAGATATTGAAAGCTTACCCTTTATTGTAACCACTTGTGTTAATTTACAGTCCTGTTTCCTCTTTTTTTACGTCCTGACAACCTGTGCTAATGCCATGCTTGTCCTTTAGTCCAGAAGAATACAAAATGAAGGAAGGATTGTAAACTGGAAATTGATTTTGCATGGCACTGCTACCCAGCCCGAACATATGAAGCAGCCACGTGTGTACACATCCTACAATGCTGTGCAAAACGACAGGAGAGGAGTGGAGAAGATGACGGACTCTGTAGAGGTAATGTTGCATTAATTTTTTCCTTATGCATTTTTCAGTTTATAAGAAAACTCTATTTTTCCCTAGTAAGAAGACGCATCCCTTCTGTGTTCATTTCATCCAGCCCCTGACCGCTTTTGAGCTGTGTATTGTAATGTTGTCCATGTCAGCCACTGATATTTTTATTAGCCTCTGTATTCACATGCCAACGTCCAAAGGTTTTAGGACGGTAGGAGAATATAGCTGCTGAAGTGGTGAGCTCAATAGCTGCTGCAGTTGAGTGGTGCGAGGAGGGAGGAGTACACCTTGACAGACTCGCCACACTTACGTAATTCTAGTCAGGACAAGTGACACATCCAAGGGATCTTTGCCTGCTGGAGTGCTTTCAGGGAGTTTGGAAGGAAGTTGGCAACACAAGACATGGCAGAAGTCAGCGACTCACTGATTCGGAGGGTTTGGTTCAGTGGATCTGCTGCTGCAAGCTCCTTTGTCACCCCTTCTTTATTCAGGGAGAGTAAACGTACTGCAGGCTTCTGGGAGTGACGGTGGGTGTCTGGATGCACAGGATGGTAGCACTGGACATTTTCACAATGCTTGATCGTGTCAGCGTCTTCGGAGTACTCTAGTCATCACATCAGTTTGTCTCCCCGTTTGGTAGCTAGGACGTGCATGAAGCACAGAGGGATGAAGGAGGGCATTGAGGGAGACGTGGGGATGGTCCAAGGGGTGGCAGCCAGGGGCAAGAACATGAGTTAGAAGAAAGTAAAAGTGGATTCAGGAGGTGCTGTAGGAGAAGATTGGTGGACGTAGTAAAGACCAGATGAAGATAAAACGAGTGTTCAGTTTGAAAGTGCAAAGGAGGAAGCCACACAGGAGTGTGTCAGCACCCGAGAGCCTGCTGGAAGGAGATGGCACCGCTCACCAGCTCCTCTCTACATCTGTGTCTGGCACTAATCCTCCAAGGTTTCAGGATACATGTCAGGACCCCCCGTTAGCCACACTCCACGGCCTGCCTCAGGCGAGGGCCTCTGCGGAGAAGGGTACGTGAAATCCGTCCCTTTCACAAGGGCACGTGGCGCAGTCAGAGCCGCCGCCGCCGCGCGGACGTCCTTCGGTTAGACTGCTGAGGAGCTGTCTCCACAGTACAGACAGAAATAGCTTTTAGGAGAGGGATGAATCCTGATATAAAACGACATGTTTTATCCTGCCGGTCTGGAATCGGAATTTATAACTTCCTACGTTGCGGGGGGATTTGATATTTATACATATGGTCCCTTCGATAGTCCGTTTTGGTGTATAATGGTCTAGCTCTTTGTCTGTAATGGTCTAGTTCTTTTCTAGGGGCTAAGTGGCTCCTGAATGAAAAAATGCCCACATGCAGAGAAATCACTAATCAGAGCAAATCTTAATCCATTCCGATTTTCATTGGCACATGACCTTTTTTATGCTCTTCTGCATTCCAGGACCACACCACACAGGAGAACCTGCGTGAAAAGCCTAAAGTCACAGAAGATCCCAGTAGCAGCAGTGAGAAAGCAGAAGATAAAATCCCATCAGAGGCTATGCTACATTTGCTGCAGAGCGCTTTTAGCAGACAGATGGCTCAGAAACGACTGCCAAAGAAGACGGCGAGTGAGAAGTTAAATATTCCGTATGAACACTTCTATCAAGCCCTCGAAAAATTAAACAAGCCCTCCCAGTTGAGAGACTCAGAAGAAAGTCTGTACAGTGACTACGTTGATCTTTTTTACAATGCCAAACCATACAAGCATAGAGATGACAGACTGCTGCAAGCCTTGGTTGATATTATAAATGAAGGAAACTAAACTTATAGGGCATGGCACTGAGTTGGAAATGTTCATTCTTCCCACCCCACCTGTAGGTTGTTTTTTTGGTTTTTTTTCTCAGAAGTCTGTTGTACGCTCTAGTTGTGTGATTGCTGCTTTGATTGCTTCATATTTAATACAAATATCAAGGAAGGGGAAAAAAACAGGTGTGGGAGGATAAGGCAGTAAACTGATGCTTTTTAGTAATAGCTTTTTTCAAAGCCTTTCTTCATTACCATCAGAGTAGATTTGCACCCTCAGGCATGAAATGCAATAGTATTCCCCTGAAAAACCTAATGCTCTATTTTAAACAATTTTCACTTTACTTATTCTACCCCCCTATTAATTTAGCCTGCAGCAGGACTCAAAACCTGGATTACCAAGCGGTTTTGAACCAAACTGCCAAAGCTTTTGGGGAGATACTCTCATCCCCGGCTTTGTAAGGAATGCTGCACCCTTTCCTGCATTTGGCGTTCATTCCAGAAGTAACACAGCCAGTTCTGCTTCATCACAGGCTGTTTGTTCCCTCTCCAGACAACAACGCTCCCTTACCCTCCTGTTCTCCCGCAGAGGAGCAGCTGGGAGGGGGCCGGGGTTGGGTTGGAGCCTCAGTGAACACTGAGGAAGTTACTCACAGTTTAGACAACGGACAGACGTACGTCAACATAAAAGAGCCCCAGACGAGGCATCCCACACCGTGGGGTGGCATTCTCGCCCCCTGACTTTACCTAAGTGAAGTGCCTGAATTTTAAGCCTAGTCTTTCTGGGCTACAGGGAGTTAATGAAGACAGAGGCTCCTATAGGTAGAGCTTTGGAACCTCTGTCTTAATACCGGGTCTGAATTACCTATAGAGCCTCAGTTAAATTTCTAAAGTTGAGTAATACAGACTCCTTCTGAGATGCCTAGGTCCACAGCAGTCAGGACAACAAAGCTGGGATCGCTTTGTCCTTTCCTTGAACTGTGACCAAAGTGGAATGGAAAGGATGTCTCTACCAGCAAAGGCCGCTTAAAGACTGGATCTTGGAGTGTCTGTGGTAGGTTGGAGCATTTCCCAAATGTCTGGGAAGTCAAGGCAAAATGGATGGGGAGAGGTGCGAGATTAAACAAATACCCTGAGCAGGGACTCGGAGGGGAAAAGCGCATGGAATGTGGAGGAGGGAGAGGAATAGAAGGCAGGAGGAGGAGGTGGAAGAGGAGGAAACAGGTGGCTGTCAGAAAGCAGCAGGGCGGGCGGCTCTCTAATGTTAGCGGTGTGCCAGACAAACGGTTTTCCACACATACCTCTTTAAAGTCAGAGTCAAGATTGACATATTATTTTGTAATTAAAAAAAAAAACAAACAAAAACACAACAAAACCAAACAAAAAAACAACTGCAGTGTTTGCTCAGAAATTAAAGGGGATCTAGAACAAGGAAATGAAGATTCCCAGGGGATAATTACTTCACTGCAGTGCTAAAGATAATCCAAACAAGTGCTGACTGATTTCTACTTTTCTTTCTCATCTACTGTTGAAATGTGTTTTCCAGACACTGTAGAAATGTTTGATTCTCCTTCACTGTCTATCCCTTAAAATGATGCAAGTGGCTGTAAGACAGGTATTTAACATTTTGCTCATAATTCATCAGTTCGGAGAGAGGTTTTTCAAACTTCACACTAAATTCTGTGATTTAAAGGTAAATCTGTTTACTGTAACAGTACTTAAGTCTTCTGTGGAAAAAGGGACTGCTCTAAAGACAACTTTGAAAATTGTCTTACCAAACTTAAGATTTAAAATTCTCTGCTTATTCATTCTTTGTGATGGTTTCATGCCTATCTTGGGCTTAGTCTGCTTTTTTTGCCAGCTTTAGATAGATTGAGCTTAGATGATTTGAAGAATTCTTCTGTATTTCTAGTCCGTACTTCAAAGATAACAGCTCCACCATTGAATGTCTCTTACACTGAGTTGCTCCCTCTCTACTAAGAAATTTGCTTAGAAGGAGAAGTGGTTGCAAGTGGTCTGAACCAGAAAGCTTTCTTGTGCTGTCCCGTCACCACCCAGGCTTTCTGGCAGTACGTGACCACTAATCAAGCAAAACGTAAAAAATTTCTAATTGCTGCTGTCGCAGAGTGAGAGCACTAACTTATTTCCACTAATGTTTAATTTTCAGAACTGGGAGTTAATCCCCATGATAAATATTCCCACCTGGAGAGGTAGGACCACTTTTAGTCCTGCGCAGTGAAGCTCAGAGGCTGGTTCCCTCGGATAACGGCGAGTTTAGCCAGTCCTCATTCAGGTGTGTTACAGCGAGGAAAGTACTAGCAACACTCAGTCAGCCCTTGAAGGAAGCTTTCAGGTTTAATGGGTGGAAAACATAGGACCCTCCTTTGTTTTAAGATCAGTTCCCATGTTGTAGCCAAAGTTCCATCAGAGGAGAAGTTTAAGATCTCTCTTTTGAATGTTTCCAACCCAGAGTAGATTGTACAGGAGTAAATTATTTTTATTGTTAGTCTTTCCTTGGTGCCTGTGTGGGTTTTGTGAAAAATGTAAAAGGAAAAAAAAAAAAAAAAGTTTTCTCTCAGAATTTTAAATTATATTTTCGTTACAGGTATTTATAATATAGCAAAGATTTTATTGAACCGACAGAATTTTAAAAGGCATAATAAATTATATTAAAGAACCAGATTTTTCTTGGGAAAGAGACAATTTCATCCAATAAAGGTATTTTTTAAACGGCATGTTCCAACAGCAACCGCAACATGTATGTGATGTGATGTTAAAATTTGTCTACTAGTAGCATAATACAGTGTGTTAGCAGAGCTCAGTGTGTGGTCTTAACGTTTGTAAAGAAAACAGTAAGATAAACTCAAGCTGTTGACTTAAAAGGACCGGGAAATACAGTTTAGAATTAAAAACAACGGTTCGAGGAAATCGGCAGGGGTTGGGTGGAGAAAAGGTGTCATTTGTGGCAAACGGAGGCTTGCAGAGGATTTAATCACTGGGAACCCCGGAGCGCACGCTCTTGAGGTGAGATTTGCCGCGGAGGCCGGTGACAGCAGCACCGAGTGCTCTGGTGGCTCCGAGCCACCGGATCCTGCCTGTTTCACACCCAGACGTCTGTGTCGGAAGCGCCGCGATGAAATAACGCAGCAGGGCGAGCCAGGGGCTCGAATTAACCACTGCGGGTCTTCCTTGCATCAAAGCAGCAGGAGATAAAATATTTGCCGGTGTCTCCCCCTGTCACGTTTCCAGCCAGTGCAGAACAAGCCCTTTTATACTGTTATACACGGGAAATCGTTGTGGACAACAGATTTTAGGGGTAATTTTTCGCTTTTCTGCACCAAGCGGGCTCCGTGGGGACCCTGTCGCTGAGCGCGCGGTTTGGGGTGTTCCCCAGGCTGCTCCACCCCACCCTGGTGTCCCATCTCCGTGGGTCCCCCTTCTCCCGCTGCTAGGCCGGGAGCACGTCATGTCTGAGCAAACACCCCAAACGAGTCCCATTTCCAAAGCTCTAAACTTCTTGAGGATTTACAGACCATGCTCGGGTTTAGTTTGCTTCTCAAGTCTCAGCTAACTGCTGCTGCTCACAAAACCTGCCTTGTCAAACGCTGCAAGGATGATCAAAACATTTTCTGTGCTTTCCACAAGCCACACAGCCATAGCGGGAATACTTCTAGTAAATGTACGTAGAAAACGGATTTCTGAAGTAGCGTAAACAGAAGAAATCTAAGCCTAGATTCAAGCGGTATTAACTGGCTTCCACACTAAACAATGGATTTTCTCTCACGTCGGCTTGGGTTTTTAAATGTCAGGCTGCATTTGAACCTCCTAGCTTTAGCTGTTTTGAGTTATCCAAGCACAGCGACGGTTCAGTCACATCTTGTAGATCCAGGCTTGTAAATCTGATTTTCAAAAGGAGTGTCTGCTTTCTTACCTCTCCCAAAGTCACTTCAGTCCGAAAGCAATCATAAGCATTTTCAGCAGAAAGAAAGCTATTTTAAGAGAGAAAAGGGGACTTTGCAAACACAGCACTGGCTTTGGGTTTATCTTAGTCGCAGAAATTCGGAGTGGATGTAGTCTGTTTGTGAGAAGTGCACGTTCCCAGGGAGAGGGATGGTCTGGTGTGGCTGAGGAGCGCTCACATACCTGGGGCTGGAGGTGGCGGCCGCGCTGAAATCCGCGTGCATCAGCAGGAGCAGCCCCGTCCCCCCCTGCACAGCAGAACCACCCCCGCCACTGCAATTCTCCAAACATTGCAAACCCAGGGAAAGACGGCTTCCACATCACTTCGGCTGTGAAAAGAATTCTAGTTTAATAATTACAGGAAAAGAACCAGTCATTATTATGCAACACCACTTTTCTGTTTATGCAGATACAGAATATTTGTGCAGCCTGAAACCTTTCTGTTGGATCAAATCTTTCTGGAAGGCCTTTTCCAGAGCTCCTAGGAACCGTGACATTCACAACAGCGTTTTGGAAAGGGACAAATCTAGAAATGTGTGTTTTGATCTGAGTCAGCTGCTCAGCTCGCTAATATTTTTGACTGCAGCCTGAAAAGGCTCAAACTCCAGCCCTGCTAGATGGGGTTGATAGAGATCACTTCTGTAAACATTTTTCTATTTATTCACACAAGTACTCATAAAAGTATCACTTCTCTTATTGCGATTTGTGAGGATAATATAACCAGAAAGAATGAGGAAATTTGCTTCCAGCAACACAGCAAATGCCCAGTGGAAAAAAATAAATCAGATATGTTCCAAGTTCCACTAAGATATCAGGGAAAAATAAATAGGTAATATGCGAATATGGGTAGTTATCAGGAAAATATATCTTAATGGTTGGATCATTTCGGCTGTTTGACTGCCTCCAATCAAATGTAGCTGAGCATATATATCTCTTTCTTTCTTTCTGATGTCATATTCGTCCCCTAAAACAAATGAACTGGTTGCTGTTACATGCACCATCTTGTTTGACCATGCCGGTGTTATCAGTCGGTGTTTCAAATCATAAACCCGGGGCATAATGCAGGGCCATATATTCTGATAAGGAAATGCACTTAGAGCTAAGGACGTGCAGCTTGGCATACGCTGGTGCACGGCGTGAACAGACCCGTAAGGTTAGGCAAAGAGGAAGCCATATGCCGGCTCCATTCGGCCTAGAGAACTAGTCCTGAGCGTAAGGACAGGGCGGTGTGAAGCTTCACAAGCAGCGGGACGTCCAGGCACCGTCGGGTACCGCTGTTCAGTGGGGAGCTCAGGCACCCCCTCGCTAATCCACGGTTTGTGAGCGACGTCCTAAAATCTGAGGGTTTAGAGAAAATTGCACTTATGGGTTTCTCCTCTTTTACGCTGCATTTCAGTTCCCCCGCTTTAGAGGGGTGCACCACTCCTGAATGAAAATTTTCTGAGCATACCTGTCGGTATTCAAACCACTGCTTAACCAGTGACTCCCACCAGGCCGGCTGAAGCCGATGCAACTCATTGCTTATACCTCCACACGAAAAAACCAACGTACGTGCATGTTTACACAACTCCGTGTGCGCTCTCTCTGACAGCAGGACAAAGCAACTCTTAGCAGGAGCAGCAAGGCGACATAAACTGCCGTGCTAATTTGCTCGAGCATCAGAGCTAAATTCCAGCTCGGATTTTGCATCGCGGCAGTGTTGATGCTGCAGGTTGCCTTGGAGGGGGGCGAAGGAGGAAGGGGGGTTTGCTCACCTGATAATCTTTTTAACAGCTGGGGTACATTTTGCCAAAGAATTCTGTATTTCTGCAGTTGCGCTAAGGGAAAAATAAGCCCACTCTTATTATGGGAAAAAATATCCCTAACTCTGTGGGGAGCTTTGAACAGTTTAGACAGTTAATGCTGGCTTTGTAAGAAAACAGGAGAGTACTCTATCAGGCACTGTAAATGTTGGATTTTGGGTCTTGTGAAACACCGCAGTCAAAATTCTTTCATGGCCTTGAGCACCAAATTTGAAAATTTTTAGGGAAGGGTATTCACAGTACTTGAACATTTCTTGAGATTTCCCTTAAAATGAACAGAAATAATCTCCTTTGGAGCACCTATCGGATTCAGAGTTGTTCTGAACCATGCTCTGGAGGACACGGCCTCGAGGGTCCGTAGCAGCTCAGCTGTGAATCCCAGGCCTGACCCAGGTGCTGAACGAACCCATCTCAGTTGGATGGAGCCAGCGGCGTCCTCATCGCTTCCCCTTCTTGCCCTCGGTCTGGCGCTGAGCCGTGCTCAGCACCCAGCAGCTCAGTGCTCTTGAAAAGCTGGGCTGAAGCTGTTAAGCATCTGTTCAGACACTGGGGCTCTCCCCAGGCCAGTGGTTGCTACAGAAAATTTACAAGGATCTTCCATTTCAGTCCAAGGTTTTATTCTTTATGACTGTCCCCCGGGCTTGAGGGAAATCAGCTCAGAAAACAGCGGGTATCCTCAGTTTAACAAGGCATTGAAGCACATGCTGCAGGTGGTGTAAAGCCATTAAACTTGTGCTCAGTCTTACCACAGATTTTTATCACAGACTGGTTTGGGTTGGGAGGGACATTAAAGCCCACCCCGTGCCACCCCCCTGCCCCGGGCAGGGCCACCTTCCCCCAGCCCAGGTTGCCCAAAGCCCCGTCCAGCCCGGCCTTGAACCCTTCCAGGGAGGGGGCAGCCACAGCTGCTCTGGGCAGGTTTCTTGATCAGAGCTTGCAGCATGATCCTGGATACAGCAGATTAAAATACTCCCCGTCAGATGCTGGTGGTCCAATTCCTAAAGCCCTCTGGAGATGCCAGAACAGTCTTCAGTGGTACAGGGTGTCCGCAGCAACCTGTGGATCCAGTGAGTGCTCAGTGCCTTAGCTAAGACACTCGGGCAGTTATTTAAATTAATTCTATGGCTTTGAGTGACAGTTCAGGTTTACAGTTCTTGACTTAACCTCTTTGTTTACCCGCATGGCAAAAGCTGTGGATGTAGGAGCTCCCTACTGCAAGGATGCATTTGGTGAGAGTGCTAAATGCAGAGGGAGAGCCTCCTTTTGCAGGAATCTCGCTATATTCACTGTCACCACCAATCTTTTCTTAAAGAAAAAAGAAAAATCCTGACTTTTTATAATAATTATCCCCTTGCTTAAGTCGCTGTCCTGTCCTGTTTAAGCCTAGGTATGGGATCGAGTACCTGATGGAGAGCTTGGCTCAGTCTGGAAGGATTACTGCTCGGGGGTAGCTGGATGTTAAAGTTCTGCCCAGTTCTTGGAAAATTAATTCAGTTTCATATTGCAGTGCTGTACAAATGCACTGGAAGTGAAGAACAGTTAGAAGGCAGAAGCCCTCACTCACTTTGACATAAATTCTGACTAAATCCTCTGCCCTTATAGGCTCAGTCCAAATGTTCCCATGTACCTGAGAAATTAAAACTAGCTGAAAATAACTTTAATTGGGTGTTATGCCATAGCAGTGGAAAGGAAGAGAAAAGAAAGAGATGACAGACTGGAAATAGACCCAGACAAGAAAGAGTGAATTTTGTGCTCTTCCACTCTCTTTATTCAAGCAATTTTCAGTTGCATTGCCCTGGCTTCAAAGGACAGATTTTAAAGATCTTTCTGCTGCTCATGCTGATGAATCAGATACGGTTTGTTTTGTAACAAATTCATTTGCTTTCTTGATCGCTTATGTCTCCCTTTCCTACCAGAATTCTAATTACAAAATCCAAAGCCCAGCAGTTCCAGGTTCATCAGCTCTGCCGTTCGCGTTAATCAGCTCAGTTCCCTGACCTCGCCCCTCTAAGTTTGCACTAACTGGCAGTCCAAGCCATTTCCCATTTTGAGGA